CAGAGTCCCAAAAAGCGTTCAATATTGAAAATAAGTGTAAGCTACGTGAAAATCAAAGATGTTCTGTTATAATACTGTTATAATCGGTTTATTGAACATCGACATAGCGATCGATGTACAATACCACTTCTTAAGATAGATGAGTCACAGTTTATGATTGGCCTGTTGGAAGAAGCGGTAAGAAAAATCTGATTGGAAAAGCGAAAAATGTTTTGAGATTCACCGCCCTAATTGGGGAGTTTTGTATGTGTAGTTAAACACAATTGTTTTTTTATTCCACAAGTGGAATAGTCGTATTCAATAATTTGAGATCGTAACAAATCTGAAATATACAAATTCTTGTCTAATTTTCCCATTCAAATTCGAAGTTTGAAAGTGAAGCGTTTGTTTCCAAGTCCTTAAGAATACATAGTACTTAAAGTGGCTTCTGCAAAATAGATGACAATTTAATAAATAATTACTACAAGTAATTCGCGATTTCAAACGACATTGTGGATTTCGGCTTTCCCTATTTCTGTCCTATTTTTCGGCGTTTCAAATTAATTAACAGTATTCAATATATTTCAATTCTCTCTAACATGTAACGTTACACAACTCTTCGTGACCGTAATAGTTTCGTGACTAAATTAGCACCCACAATTCTTACATAATTGATATTAGAACTTTTTAGATAATTATTTAGCAGGAGACTTATAATTCTCTCTTGTTGGTTATTTATCCTGGCAAACACTGTATTTACACACATGCACACGTGTTTTAAATTCTTCCTTCACTAGTAGGTGAAAATGCAAGAGATAACACCAAACATTGTAATCATACAATATTACTAATCTCTTTATATATTATTTACAAGATGAACAGAAAGTGTATCAAAATGTTGGTAAAGACATTTTTAATTTAAGGTCGCATGAACTTGTAGGTTATAACCAACCATTGTTGCGTGTAACGGAATGGTAACAGATGATGCCACCATACGATGGTGATAGGGGGTGAAAGGACGAACACAATACAACCATGCCCGAGGCGGGAGAGATCGCACTACTGCCTTAAGCGATGTCAGGCCATCGGACCACCTCCTGTCAATGTAACCGTTACCAAATGGACCTAGTTAGTTAAAATTATATTCTTATAATTTTTATAATGATTGTTCCTATAAAGATAGATTGTCCATTCTTTTACTCTGTGTTTTCTCTCGTGTTCAGTTTTAATTTTTTATTAAGATATAGTCATTTAAGGTTTATTTTTCAAGTCGAAATAATTAAAATATAACCACACATCTTCAGCTAGATTTCCTGAACAACTAGCACGTTTAAAAGGTTCAAGTATTTTTTCTCAGAACACAGAAATCCTTATGTGCTCCAAGGTCACAAAAATTATGCAACTCATGACGATTACCTCTGAGAAAATTTACCTGGCATTGGGAAAGTCCCAAGTTCTTTTTGTTCATTATTTGGAACGATTATGGCCTTGACCCCGGATGTTGGTATCTCTAATTAAACTAATTTGTAGTCAAGGAAGTTCCGATTTGAAAGCTATGCTTTGTGTCAAGGATATAAACTTTTTACTCAATAACAGAGCAGACTCTTAAGTTTTTTTATTTTGTTTTCATTTTCTAAGTCACGTTTCAACTGCTCTGTCATTTAGAGATCACTAACTTAACTTTGGGGTAACGATGGGAGGAGCACATGCTAATAACATATGCAAACACTCCTGCCTGGTTGGTATTCAAACCGGCGTCCCTTCAATCCAAGGCAGCCTTAGCAACCTCCAATACCCTGGCCGGCACTCACGAATTTGTAAATAGTATATAACCAACAGATTCATCAACTGCCTTACGCCAAGATTCATGTACAAACAATACGAGCAATGCCGGGCCGGATGGCCGAGATCGTAATGACAATAGTACCCTTGTGATCTCGGACCGAAGAATCGCGGGTTCGACTCCCGCATCGGGCAGGGTTGTATTTGTGTTCGTTCTTTCACCACCTATCATTACCATATCATGTCATCACAGTTACCATACCGTTAAATGCAATAGTGATCGCTAATGACCTAGATATTGATGTGACATTAAATAACAAAAAAATACAAGTAGCATCTTATACAAAGGTATGTCAGAAAATCTAACGAAAAAATATCTTTGTAAAATTACATAACATTCGATGTGTAATTTCATTTGATAAAAGACTTCGTGTTCTCAAGAACTTTCATTGGAACCTCAATGAAAAAATTAAGAGTCCAGAAATATGGTATTCAATACTCTCCTTTCTTGAGTCGACTTCCGTAGATAGTTCTTCACAGAAATAAGATATCTAAAGGGAGGTAATTTTGATTGTCGCGTTTGTTTACAGGAAAAGGGTCATTTTAATATTAGAGTGGCCAGTGATACAAATTAGTTAAACGAACCCTTCTCAGAGAGGTATTAATATCTCAGAGAGGTAGTAATCTATTTGAAAAATTAAATTATGCACAACCATGGTTGACATTGTAATAAAAATAAATAGCCTGACAGTTCAAATACGAGGAATAGCTAACCAAAATGGCATTTATGCAATTCCCATCCGGTTAAAAGGAGCTTGCAAGTAAAAAGTTCAAAATGTACTTCACAAAAATGCTTACGTTAAAAAATATTAAGAAATAATATATGTTGTTATAAAAAGGTGGTTTCCAACAATTTTGCCTATTAGTCAATAATGATATTTTAAAAATAATCATTGATAGAGATAGTGCGCTCGTCTCAGTATTACTTCTGTACAGAAAAAAAAACTAAAAACTTTTGAAAAGGTCTAAGAATTATCTGTCGGCGGAAGAGTCGTGAAAAACGTTGATTGCAATTTTGATCATTCTCAGATGTCTTATGATGAAAAATTAATTTAGGAGTCAGCGAAGGCATGCCGTTTCAGTCGCTTTGAAAAGCAATCGAAAGAGTTTTAGATAATCCAAACTTCGGATTTGATAATTGATCCACACATAGAGAAAATTCCTTCATTTGATTTATAGACTGAAGAAGACTCGTTAATAAACTGCAGTAAAGCATACACACGAAAAAAGAAGAAAAGCAAGGATAATAGGGCGCCCCTTTAGAGTCTTCTACCAACGTGAATAGTTTATAATAATGTAGAGACGATCCCTGAAAAGTCAGGACGGAAGACAATGATGTATATAGTTATTAAAAAATTACATACGAGAAAAAAAGTCAAATATTAATTCTTAGGGTCTTCCTTATACTTGTTACTAGTTGTTACATTCTTATTGTCTCATTATCAACGGTGAAATGGATAAAGAACGATCAGATGTTCATAATTTTTTGCATTAACATCCGATTCGGAAGGGACATTTCGTTTTGAAATAATCGAACCGACTCGAATGACTTGTGATCACTTCCTTCAGTGTTCTCTTGCCTCCAGCAGGTCTCCGTTGCATCAGCGCAATCGTTATTTTAGTTCAATCTGCTGCGCAATTGTCTTTTCAGGATATGTTCCAAAAATATTGGACAATTTTCTTCGATTTTATGTTTATGTCACAGCAATTGATACATTTTACGTCAAAGACCCAAAATTACTAGACAATTAATTAAAATAATGAAACCTTGAATAATGTATCTTAATTAAACGGCTGAAAAAATGCTTAGTAGCGACATTTGTTGTTATTATTATTATTATTATTATTATTATTATTATTATTATTATTATTATTATTATTATACTTTTTATATCACTTCTTTTTCAAATTTGAATAGAATTTGCCTGCTCAAAGTGATCCTCAGCTCAAGGCTAGATTACATTGTGGCGAAGTCTGCCCCCCTGTATTTGTTACAATTAAGAAGTAAGTAGAACGAAATTAATCAATGAGATCGAGAGATGACTTTGCAGAAGGATTACAGCTTTCCCACAGTTCGTGTTAGTTATTTTATTTTACACTTAATATTTCAAAGTATCTTTACCTTCTTAATAAAACACAGTCAATGTGTTATCCTTGAATTCATTACGAGAAAGTATAGAAATTATTTCCTAAAAATAAGTTTTCGTTCATTCATTAAGGCCTTGCAAACTACGAGTATTGTGAATAGTTAAAAAAATACCATGAAAATCTTAACATTTCCTCGTTGACACGTAATATAAATAAAGAGTATTCCAGGCTGGGAAATTGGTGGAAAACCCGTTTTAAATGTCCATGGAACAAATTACGTTTTTTCTTACCATGATGTCCGTATCGATGTGTGTATGTCATGCGCAACGAGTAGATTAGAAAGTTTGACCATGGAACGCATGTCAGGTGTTAAATCTATTGGCACCGTTCTAAAGATAATAAAGGAGATACATACAACTTTGTTCCAGGCAATAGTGCAAAATTATAAAAAAAAATCTCTCAAGCCGGGAGAACAGGAGTTGAAACGAAAGGATAAGGAGTTTTCATGTTCTCCTAATCACAGTCCTAGTCACGTAGATATAGATCCCCTTGTCTGTACAAGTAATACTTGCTTAGGGAAATTGGGTCGGAAATAAATACGTTTAAAAGAACTGCTAAAACGTAAAATTCTTTCATTTTACGTAACACGTAATTTCGAGGAAAGTGAGATCGGCCGTCAGAAAATTTTGCAGTACTAACTTTCAAGTAAATTGTTACATTTCCTCCAAATCATTGCAGTATGCAAATTCTGCATTTTACAGGACTTACACAAAGAAACGTTTCGATATGTCATGTATCCCCGGGTTTCCTAAACCAATCTCTCTTTTAACAATGTAATCGTCTCTTCTCTCAACCCATGTCTCTTTACAATGCAATCGTCTGGAAGTAAGCAAATCCTGAAATAATCAAACCGGCATTAATATACTTTTAAAATTATTTTTGAATTGTTACGTCATGTTTATTTTATTTTCTGCCCAAGTACTATGTACATCCCGTGAGAGCAATGTTATGTTAAGACATCTTATGTTATATTTATTGTTGCCTGCCTATGAATCGTTAATTATGCTTATCTTTGTTACAGCTTTCACAACATGGCAGCCACTAACGGCGCTACCAACGGCACGTCGGATCCAATGCCGGAGTGGCTGGACCGCGAGTTCGTGGCGGGCGTCCTGAGCCGGGAGGAGGGGCGACCGGTGTTCGTCCGGCAGGTGCGAGTGGCGCGGGCAGTGGGCAAAGGCGACAACTACGCCAGCTTCCTCCTACGCGTGGGCGTCGACTACGACCTCCAAGACGCCGCGGGGACTACCAAGACCACTTCCCTCATCGTCAAGACGCTTCCCGAGGGGGAGCTTATGCAAGAGTTCGTGAAAGAGTCCGGCATCTTCCCGCGAGAGGAGAAGATGTACTCTTCCACGATCCCCGCCCTCGAGGCCCTCCTCAACGAGAACGCCCCCGAGAAGATCGTCTTCGCCCCGGAGGCCCTGCACTGCGAGCGCGACCACACCATCGTGCTCAAGGACCTCAAGGAACAGGGCTTCCGCATGTGCAATCGTCACACCGGACTGGACCTGGAGCACGCGACGATGGTCCTCCGGAACCTGGCGCGGTTCCACGCCGCGTCCGTGGCACTGCACGAGCAAAATCCTGAAGAAGTCGAGAGCTACGTCGAAGTTTTCTACGCAGAGGAAAAGCGCGATCAGATAGAACGTTTCGTACCTCAAACATTGGAGTGCGTTGCCAAAGCGGTGGACACTTGGGAAGATCCGCAGTTCGCGGGATACGCGGAGAAAATTCGGAACTTTGCCAAGACTGCGCTTAACAAGGTCATGGAAACTACAGGGCCTGCGAAGGACTTCCTGACCGTGCTCAACCACGGTGATTGTTGGGTCAACAACAACCTTTTCCGGTACTCGGAGGAAAGTGGAAAGCTCGAGGAGATGAGATTTATCGACTTCCAAGTCATGAGGTAAGTGCCCAATATGAGTAATAATAATAATTATTATTATTATTATTATTATACCCTTTTAAAGACTAATTACAATACACACAGAACGCATTAATGAACCTAATTCCGCGTACTCCTCATTGGCCCGCATGGAAAAGTTAATAATTTCAGGAAAATTTAAAAAAAATCTATCTAAAGCGATCATTTTAAAGATGGTAATTTTAGCCATTGCAGTAATTCGATACTTGCCATAGTACATCGTATTGTCATTTTTTTTAGCACACTTCCCTTCGGTTTTTCGAATGGGGGTAATGATAAGATTTTGTGGTTAATGCGAGTGGTGTATACGAATTTCTGTTTCACATTTTGACTTGACAGAATCAGTGTCACATTCAACCCACTCTTCCATCGTTCCATCGTTCCACCATTTACATTCTTCAATCGTTTATACGGGAAATGTTCATATAATCGTATAGTGAATCATTCATGTCCCATTTTCAGGTACGCTTCACCCTCTCTCGACCTGCAGTACTTCCTGTACACCAGCGTGCAAGGAGATGTGCGCGAGCAGCATTGGCGCGCTCTGCTGGACACCTACGTGGATCAGCTGCGGGAGACGCTGACGGCGCTGGGCCATGGGGACAAGGCCATCACGACAGACGCGCTGCAGGAGGACATGGACCGGCGGGCGAGTTTCGGCCTGGTGTCTTCCTTCACGGTCCTGTGTGCGATCGTGGCCGACCCATCCGATGCCATTGCGTTGGACCAACTAACCAAAGAGGACATGGAGAAAGGAGACGTGTCCGTGTTCGAGAAGGCGGTGTCTGGCAAGAGGTTCCATTTGGCCTTGCAGAAACTTCTGCCCATGTTCGTGAAGAAGAATGTCCTTTGAAATCTCACGCTTCCCTTGGTAGCATGTCGCGAGATAAGAGTGGCTGCGGATGTTTGTGATGAGAGCTAACCGCGCCTCAAAAAGGTTGTGTAAACGCAGAGTGAGTCTCTTCGCCAACGAGTATCGTGCCATACGTCTACTATGACGTATATTATTGTTATTATTATTGTCGTCATTATCATTGTTATTGGACAGATCATTTTTTAAACTTTTTAAAGAAATTCCAATATATCTTTATCATCAATTGCTTTACTCAGGTTCAATTTCTACGATATACGTTTCCTTTTCTTTGGTTTTCAATATACATCGCATCCCATCGAAGTAGGAGGCGTTATACAAGATATGTATTATTATTATTATTATTATTATTATTATTAATTCCCAAGTTTGTTTAATAATTATACTGTGAATATTCTATCATGAACGAGTAGAAAAATGAATCTTCAAGAAGAAATAAGTTTCAACGAAAGTTTTTGCCTGAGTTGTAGCTACTGAATATCGTTAAACGACATCATAGTCTACCATTACAATTGAGGCAGCTAAGGTTCACGAAAGAACACCCTCGACGATCCTTCACCCTTCACGATTGGTGCAACGGAAAGAAGCAATTTAGGTTATTCGTAGCTCTTTTGAGGAAGATAGTCTGCAGTATTAAAAGGGGAACTCAATGTCGAGAGGCAGCTTAAAAGAACAAAGAATTTCGCAGCGGTTCTCAAACGGCACAGTACTATTGCTCAAGTTTCTGACGGCCGTCTCAAACCTCGCAGCTGTAATTATGGTGTTGTTTTCTTTGTAACATATCGTATGCAGGTGAGAACTAGAAAGTTTCATCGCTTAAAGAAGAAAAAAGTTGACATATCAATTAAATCATACACGATTCTGAAAAGGTATTACTACACAGCAGATCGGAGCAGGCTACCAGGATTCTACTATTTTTATGTAGATGATGTATATGACCAATCAATTCGACAGTAATTTATGTAATTGAAAGTACATGTAAGATAGTGGAGAGTACACAGTATTAAAACAATAATTTGCAGAGTTCTTATCGATGTAAATACTTTTGAATTTAAAAATGTGATTATTAAATTCACAACATTTTGTCACTGCCATTTTATTGAAAGAGATAAGGGAAATGAAAATAAAATGAATAAGCTATATTACTATTACCAATAATTACAAAAAATTATCGCTTCCTCTATATATGAATGCCAAATTTCTGTAGTTAATGTAAACAATTGTACAGAAATAAGTTAAACAACATGTTGAACTATATTATCTGTTCGGTTATGTGATCGGTGTTTTGACACTTATTGACACCGACCCAAAGTGGAGAGGATGGTCGCCAAGTAAAATGTAGAATGATTCGCATTTATTTCACAACCTTTGTGCTTGGGACATTTCAGTCTCTATTGTATTCGCCAGTCAGTCAAATGGAGTGTTCGATTATATAAATTTATTTAAGTGGCTAGGAAGCAAGAGAAATACTCCTGAACATTTTATTTTTAAGAAATATTATTTACATGTATAATTCTATTTAAAATTATAACAAAGTTCTGTTTGATGTTTTTAACACGCGTACATATTCTCATCATCGCTTTTCGACATGGTTTACATCAATTCTTACAATATTTTTAGTGACGAGATTATAACAATGTAAATCACTCGAGAAAACTATCCCTAATGTCCATGCGCACTCACTTCACTGACACTTGAGACATTTAACATCTGGCACTCCGGTCTTTGTAGCTGGCGGACGAATATACTTCGCAGAGCGATGCGGTCTTCGGCGGTGTTCAATTGTCAAAATCTATTGAAAAATCGTCACTCAGCCTGTAAGGACCATAAATTCAGACATTCGATATTGTAAAGCTTCAGATATTATGAATTTTTAAATCAATGTAATCTTTTGCAATGTATTATGAAGTAAGTTGTACAATTTTGTAAACTACAATGAAATATGAAAATAAAATATTTCAAAAAGAAACGGTGAAGTATCATTGTCTTCCTCGAGTTTCCTGAGTGATCAATTACTAGTCCTAGCCTGCTTGTTGCCCGAAAAGGGGAGTATGATAGATTCTCTGTTATTATCTATCAACAATTATTTACAGGTTGTTGAATTGCAAAGAGGAAACATAGTGTAAAGTAATAACTTGCATACAATTTTTCTTTGTTACAGTAACGAATAAATTCATGTACGTTAGTAAGATAGGATTTCAAAGAAAACAAAACTAAACTTAGGTAGATAAGTATATAGATTTTGTCCATCGGGTAGTTTCATGTATCAATAATTGAAAAATACTTCAGTGATTGTTCAGGGTGTCTCCAGCGCACAAGATATTTCGATTCTTTCTTCAACAGCAAAGCAAAGTTAGATCATATACGAGAAGAACTAAACACAATTATAACTAATAGAAACAATAAATGCATTAATGAAAATATATCATAGAATACACATATAATTAAGCTTTGGATAAATATCTTAAATTTTATTACAGAATGTATAAATATATTCTAATATACAATAAATATTACCTATATTAATATATAAGAAATACATTAATTTACACAGGGAGTCCCACCAAATATTGGCTACCCGTATAACTTCTAAATTTTCCCGATTTCGAAATGCAGTTTCCGCTCAACAATGCGGAATCATTGGCAAATAATGTGCCGTGGAGTTAGTACTCGAAATATTTCCAGTTTTTGAGAAAATTAATGATCTTTAATTTTTTAAATGGAATCATGTATTTTTCTCATGAGCAATAGGAAGATCATAAATAGACGAATGCAATGATGTAACATATGTTAATGTTTTGATAGTATTTTGAGTATCAAATTTTACTTCTGACATGTGATTTTAAATTAAATGTACATGATTTCCTATAGCAACCCTTGCTACCGTGGCCTTTGCGGCAGGTTACCATCGCAGCGTCAGCACTTTTGTGGGGAGAGGCTGCAAAGAACACCTTTCCCAAATTCGATAGATGCGACGGCCGCAACAGGAAAGATTGCAGGTTTAATTTAAAATCTCCAGTCAAAAAGTATAAATTTGTACACAATATACTAACATACTAACATATGTTATATCATTGCATTTTCTTTTTATGATTTATTTATTGCTAGTGAGAAAAATATATATTTATATTTAAAAATTTAAAGGTGATTAAATTTCTTAAAAACTAAAAATAGTTCAAACAATATCTCTACACCATGTCCCATGATTCTGCATTGTTGAGCGTAAACTACATCTCGATATCGGGAACCGTTTAGAAGATATGGGGATGGCCCATAGTTGGGAGTCCCTGAATATTACCTATTTCGCACATAATAATTATTAAACTTTAAGTATTTTATTTATTAAGTTTTTGCAGCAAACTTGCAGTCGTTGCTATTACGTTTCTTTCAAATACTTTTATAACGCTTTGTAAAATGTTGTTCATCGTTTTCTCGAATGCCACTTGGAGAGTGAATTACGTAATTGCAACATGGGAACACCAGAGCTACGTTCTCTTTCTTAGAAGCCGTGGGTCGACGAGGTCTGTACTTTGCTCTCGGGCAAACTGCCTTAGACCTTGTAAGCTCGAGAAGACGGAACTCATTGAACCGACACCGTGGTACGCAATGAAGGCTACACGAATGAAGGAAAAGGCGCTAAAAGAACAGATTTCGTAACAATGTTTTGAAGGTGACTTAACATATTCTCTCTTACTTGTAAATAACACGAAAAGATGAAAAAAAACTGAAAAACATAAGAACACATTTAGAACCTATGGTTTCTATATTTAATCTACATTTTGTGCAACTAAATGCAACATTTTAAGCATAGCTGTACTCAATTAGTGACATTTGTATGGGAATACGAAGAAAAATTCAAAATGTTGAGTGGTACAGAATGTTTGTACTGACTGACAGGAGACAAGAGAAATTACATCTATAAAAGAAAAAAATATAACAAAACCTTTCTTACTAATGATACTTAATTTACTAAAAATATTGCTCGACTACAAAGAAAATTATTTTCAGATCAATGCCCTCAATTCTGAAATGAACTTTAATCTGTGACGAGCGTTGTCAAAATCCTTGTTTACTCACACATGGAGCTGCCGCCAAGCGAAGTAAACACAAAGAGTAAATAAACACGAAAGCCCGGAACTCTATTCTTTCGGAGTACAAAATATGGCAGCTTGTTTCGGAGCTGTGACGAAATTCAGCGATTCCTTAGAGAAAGGTGGGTTTTTAAAGGGAAGGTGGATGTATTGTAGCAGTAATATATCATTACAATTGACATATTCTGCAGTATCTTCGAGGATGTGCAAAAGGTGAATGATTAATTATATGATAAGTCCACTTCGAGAAATATCACAGACAAAATAAACAATTTTATTAAAAATAATGAATGATTAATTTTTAATTTATTATCTAAATATGATATCCAGAACATCTGATTGATGGATTTGATGACGAGAAAGTACCAATCATCATAATGGGAAATACGTCGAGATGATCATAGATGAATACAAGTGATGCCATTATGCAGTACGACAGGGAAAACCAAAGTACTTCCAGAAATCTTGCAGTGACCCTGCTAAAAATGAACCATCTTATAGAAATTTGAGTTCTCCGTCCAAAAAACTGTATAACAATCATGCCAAGAATCGTTGAACCTCCCCCCCAGACCGAAAGCAATTAATGAATATTAGTGAAGTATTAATAAGGATGAAGGTATTGGATTGCCATGTACAATCTCTGTCTATGCTTGGTATAGAAGCTTTTGGTATTCCCTTGAATATATCTCACCCAAGTCTCACTGTGAGTTTCAGCGTGTTCGTGTAGGCTGTAGAGTTCTGTGAGAAACATATCTTTGACATTTACTTCTCAGAAGCGCTGCATGAGAACTGCACGAGACAAGGCCGCTTCTCGCACTCATTATAGAGTTTTGCACGAACCTGGCAAGAGACAGGTGTACAGAGCTAGTACTGTTTATGTAATGCATAAATTACAGAGTTTGGAACAAAACGCCCCAGTCTCGACTCAGAATCTTACATGATAGATGAGGAAGAACTTGACAAATATTGTGCAACTAACGAAATTAGCCACATGTATATCAAAGATATGCAATGAGCCGAAATGAAAGTCGTAAACCTACAAGTGCGAATGCGCATCAATTCTAACTGGGAGTAATTTACTTACATTTAACTTTACGTTCATATATTTATCCAACGACATGAAACACGGGAAAGTATAATCAATTTCTGCACCCCAGCTTTTGGAAAATTTGTTTCCGTCACATAATTTTAACCAAATGAACCTTGTACTACTGAAATTGCAGCTCTAACCCCGAGAAAATAAACAACAAAAAATGTAGAACTCAGTACTATTTACTTAGCAGTCCATTATTTTCTAACTCAGTCTTGAGACACGCAAGTAAAGATTTTACTAGCAGAATTCATTTCTAATTTTCAACCTTTTTCTTTCAGTACTTCCTTCATTCATTTGGTATCTTGTAAGGCGTATGGTGTTCTGTCGTAACAGCGATTATGCTAGAGTACCAAGAACCTATAAATATTATGAAGTAGCTATGTGCGTACTTTCATCCCTTTATGTTCAGGATTGTTGTCCTAATGTATTTTTAATTTATCTTTCTTACGGAGTTTTTCAGCATTTATTTTCAAATCTGTTTCAAAATGGTTAAATACATATATTTATTCACAATACCAATAATGAAGTGTAAATCGTCAGGCACTACGGAAAACAAAACACCCCCATACAATGGCTGACCTTCGTCCAAGCATGTTCAGCGTCCTGAAGCGAAGAGTGCAATTTTATCTTCTTGTCTCTGATCTTACCATACGTTTGACAGGTGGAATTTACTCTCCTCCGGAATTTAAAGGTTCTCCGAAATCCGAAGTCCTTTTCCTTCCACATTTGAGTGTATTTTTTTCCTCTTGAGCTGGTTTACGTTTGATACTAAGGTTTGTTAATTCTTCCGCCGTAGTATTT